CAGCCAGAAAAATAAAGTTGGGGTTTTTTTTAGCTCTAGCAACAATGTTTACACTAGAGGCAAGCACATATTACAGGTGAAGAAATATTTGCTCCAGAACAAACCCACATATATTTGGCCACTAAACCATTCACTAAGTGTTTACAGTCATTATCCCAAAGAAATTAAAAGAAATAAGCATTCAGAACAAAGGCAAGACTCAAAAAACATGGAAGAGTCAAGTTGCTAAATCCTAGAACAACTCGGGAAAAACCTAGCTAAATTCAGCTTTCAGCCCCACATACAATGACCAGGAGTAAGATCACCTACTGAATTTATCCAAGATTTTGCCAAGCTCGTGCAGTAATATACTTTATAACCTTGCATGGGGGGAAAAACAAACAAACCAGAACGAAAAAAATGAACACAGTGTGACATAAACACTAAACAAAAAAGTACAAAATGGGCTATTTGAGAAAAAAATCTGATCTGAATTCAAATTATTCACATAAGCCAAGATATGCACAATCAGGCCCACAGTAACTGAGCAAAATAAACATATCAACTCATTAAAGATCTATCTGCCTGAATGTATCTTTGCTTTCTCTTCAGTTCTTATGGGCTATTCAATCACTTCCCATCACCCAGAAAAGGAAATATTGCACTATGAAGACAGAGCTATAATTAGATATTCTTCTATTTCATTTCACATATATGACTGAATGAGAACGGATGGGGAAAATATGAACAGAGATAATAACAGCAAGTTGAAACATTCAGTAAAAAATACATTTGGCACAGAATAACATCTCACGTCTTCCTCAGCACGTAATGCTGTGTTTACTGCAAAATTAGTTAAGTTAGTATAAGAGATTTTTAATGAAAACAATTATAAATTTAAAATAACTGTGTTTAAAGCATTTAAGAGTCCCTAAGGTCAAGTGATTACAGCAGTTACAAGACCCGAGGGACATGTTCACACCAAAACAAAGTGAATAAATTACCTCAGCCAGTGTATGCAATCACTAAGTGACCACAGAGGTTATTCAATGTATAAGCCCAGCTGACTTCCACGCAAAACCAATAATGAGAATGTAACAGCCAAAGGGAAAAAGCATTTAACTAGCAGAAGCTGCTGGAAGGGCTGAGAACTTGGCAGAATGGGAAAGGGAGTGTGGAAGGCAAGCTCCATGGCTTGGCTGTGGAGGCAAGGGAGGAGGATGAGTGTTGGGGAAATGGACAGGCAAAATGCTGAACGTTTTTCCCAGGTGAAAGACCCAAACTGTGGCAAAGGGATGCAAGACTCTAAAAATGTAAACCAGCAGGGTTTAAGCAGAGCTCTCAGCCCTGTAAAACTGGGATATGTAACGCCCAGTGAAGGACAAGCAAGGCAGGAGCTCAGAATAATCATCTCTCAGCCTTCCCCTTGGCTTCACTGCCAGGAAAAACGATGGACAGTTACGTGTTTTAGTTATTCCAATGGAGGCAAGACCTGGTTTTTACCACAGAGTGGGTAAGATAGGCTGCAGAACAAAAACTAGCTTTGTTCTGGCTTCTCTCCCTCATGACATAAATGATCAGATGCCTTGTCTTCACTGCAGCTTCACAACACAACTGCCAGTGGAGAAAATCAGAGCCAGGAAAGACAGCAAAACATTTTTCTGTAGGGACCACCTTGTATTTGATTCGCAGTGTGCAGCTCTGGATCAAGGTTCCTACCAACTATGGTGGAAAAAGATGGTACTGAGGAAGCACAAGGAATCCTGCTTGCCCCTGGTATGTATATTTTTTAACCACAGCACATCACCACCTCACATCCTTGAAGGCATTGAATCTTCACAACACACAGAGTAAATAATAACATAATAAATGGTAAAGCACAATTAACACATTTTGGAGACAGGAGTCTGAAAAGAGAGGCAAAAGGACATGCCTGACCTTGGTGTTTTGATTCCTGAAGCAAATATTCACCAATATTCCTGCAGGTGAAGCAACTTGCTGGCTTGCCCTGTGCCAGGAACCTAATAGCTGGTATTGTCATTCATATACATACATACATATATACACACACACACACACACACATATATATATGTATATGTATATTTATATGTATATATACATATATACACATATATGTGTATATATGTGTGTATATATACATATATATACACACACACACATATATATATGTATATGTATATTTATATGTATATATACATATATACACATATATGTGTATATATATGTGTGTATATATACATATATATGTATATACACAAATATATGTATATATACAAATATATGTGTGTGTATATATATACACACATTTTTTATGTGTATGTATATATATGTGTCTGTATATATATATGAGAAAATGCAAGTGGACTCTCAGTATGTAATTACAGATTTTCTTTGTATCTGAACTATAAAAACCTGAGGCCAAAGCCAGCAGACCCTCACACAGTCAGATCTTCCAGTTTCAGTGAAACTGCCTGCAAAATGTGCTTTTTTTAGATAAACACTACACTGTCTTCTACATGAACTATGCTTATATGCTAAGAAAGCCCCCTGGTAAATTACTGAGGCTGGAATACACCTATCCAAAGGGTTATAATTCTGTGGGGAACGTTAAGCCAAGGACCTATGTGCTAAAATAACATCATCATGACCCCCCTGTTAGATGCAAGGAATGCCAAGTGGCTGCCAGCCCTGCAGGATTCCCCTGGGAGGGTGAAAGCACCCTGGCAGATTATTTGGGCTGGCTTTCTGCAGCCCTGAGTGTTTTCAAATGCCAAGCACTGGCCACAGGCTCTGGCTGCACCTAAACAGCATTTGTGAAATTTGTGAAATCCACAAATTCTGGGGCCAAAGAGGAGCTCAGGTGGCCGGAGACTGCTCTCAGCAATGCACTCAGGGAGATCTGTGCTCTCCAAGAGGCAATTCCTCCTCTGGAGCTGCAATTACACACAGAAAAAGGATAGTTTTGAGCCTATCAAATCTAGTACCACTTTCTAAAAATAAGAACAATACAGCTAAGTTGCAGTGGTATGGTTAGAATATGTGCACAGCAATAAAAAAAAAAGAAGGAAAAACGTGCACTGCCATAAAAAAAAGAAGGGAAAACACCCATTCAAATAGGGTTCAGGAAATCAGAGGAGGTCAGGTAAAAAGAAGAGTATGAGGAAAACACAAAGAAGGACAGACAATGTAGAAGTTCTTGTATTTAAAAACCTCCTTTTGTAAAACCAAATGTCCCTTACATATCTCTTGAAGGGTCAGCCAAGGAACTCCAATGCAATAAAATTATGTAGAGGTGCTGCACATGATTAAATAGGTAAGATACACACAGGATAAAATATGTAGAGATGCTGCCATCACACAGCAGGCAAGAGAGACTGCAGCAAAACCTGACAGAGCTATGCTTCGAAATACTTTTTACATAAAGCTATAAATCCATTCTGATGCTTTTTAGAAGATCAGCTGCTCAAGTCACCTTCAGCTCTGGGTATTTCTAGAGCAAGAGGTGAGCTGGCAGTGCACAACCAGCCTGCCAGTGGTATTTACAGCAACAGTTCCCCTCCTTCCTTTTGGTTCTCTGCTTTTGCTATTTAATTTAATCAATTTAATTTAATCAATTCCAGCAACAGGCTGTCAGGGCACTGCTGTCAAATACAGCAGGATATGGAAGGTATTTGTAGTGGGTTTGGTTTGTTAATTTGGGATGTTTTTTGGTTAATGTACTAATGAGTGTGGTGGGTTTAGTGCTGGCTCACCAGTGCATCCTCTGGGATGTACTCTCTTATTTCTTGTTCTGAGGTAGGACTAGGGGAAAGGTAAAGCAGGCTTAGAACTTCAAAAGGGCCTAAAGAGAAATTTATTAATAGTAACAAAATGAAAAAGTAATAAAAATTACAACAAAACTTTTAGGACACTTCTCATCTTTCTATAGTCTTTTCTTTTTTACTGATAATACAAAGAAACAAAACCTAAAATTTTAGTTAGTTTACTACTTTTAGAATAATCTTTCTTAGTTTAGTTAGGGAGACAAGTCTTTTTTTGTTAATGTTAAGGAGACTTCTCTATAAGAAAATAGTGTTTATTTTCATGAATAGTAGCTACTTGGGGAAATTTGTAATTGTGACATTTCTTAAGCTTTTTTTACAGTTGTATTTATGGGCTATGTTAACTTATGGGGTACTGTTTTAAAGATGAGTGGTTTAAAGGTAAAAGTTTTCATTATCTATCTTTAAAATGATCTTTATCTCTGGAAATAGAGGTAGAAATCTAAAAACAGAAATAGAAAAATCTTTTTTTTCTCTCCCTAGAGACAGTATTCTACCAAAGAGATGGTGACTGCCCGTGCTCAAAGATAAAATGCCAGTACTCCAAATCCAAGGGGCAAGCATGTGAATATCACCCCCCAAAAAATTCTCAAAATATAATATATATATTATATTTATATATATATGTAAATATGTTTTATGTATATAAATATATTAAATATATGTTTACAGATATATGTTATTATATTATTATATTACTATAATAATTCTCTTCCAAACAGCATTATTGATCAAAAGAAGGACTTTGATCATTTCCAATACACTGTAACTTCCAGCTCTGCTGTAAGCCACAGCAAACCCAAAGCACAGTGAGCAGCAGTTTCTGGAGTGCACACAAATCCCCCCAGCACCAGCTAAGGGAACACTGCATCCTTTGCAAGAGGTGCCAGCACCTCCTCAGCACCCCCGGGCAGCTGCACAGCTCTTGTTGTGCAATGAATCTTTTCCCCAGGGTAATGCAGAAATGCAGCCAAGTCTCTGAATTTGTCTTAATTAACAGAATTATTATTATTATTACTATTATTGTTATTAACAAGTGAGGCTAGAAGCAGCACATGACACGAGGACACGCGGACGGGGGGGAGATTCTCCAGCGCCCTAATTCAATTAGCAGGCAGTGAGTGACACCGGGACAGGAGAGGTTAATTGGGGTCACCAAAAGGCAGTAATTCCTTACCTAACCAGTCATTAAACTTCTTAACCTCGGAGGGCAGTCCCAGCTCGGTGAAGTCGCCCGTGTGGAGCAGGATGTCCCCGTAGGGCATCTGGATGCCATCTGTTCTGGAGTGCGTGTCTGAGACGCAGACGAAGCGCGTGTGGCCCGCTGGCTTCGGAGTGTCATATGGGATGGGGTCCACCCTGGAGCAGACACAAAGATCCCGTCACCGTCACGAGGTTCAAACCCTCAGTCCATTACTGCAGATATCAGCTGCAGTGTCACAGTGTGAGCACACATCTCCCTCCCTCCAGGAAAGCAGCCACGCATCCACGGACACACGCCACGCTCTGCCAAAAACCCAGGAGGGACCACAGCGCTGCTAAAAACTTACCTGGTGAGGACAGGAAGATTAAATACACGCAAGATACGGCCACTCTGTGGTACTAAAGTGTGGTTAGACACGGGGGAAAATGGATTTAGGAGGCTTTGAATTCAAGTGTTTTGTGTGCTGTGTCTTATACGGGGACAGGCACAGGGCCATGGGATAACAGGGCTCACAGGTGGGCCAGGAACGGGCTCTCACCTGAGCTCAGCAGCTGATTTTGTTCAAGGGCACAGGTTCTCAGCATACAGCATTTGTTTACACACAATAAGGTGCATTCAGGAGTGCTTTGGTGGAGGCTGGGAACTGCAGAACATAGTGACAGCTTCCTAAACTCATACAAAATCCTGAGCTCATCATCCCAGAATCTGTAAAGTCAGCAACTGATGTGCTATCACATTAAGCAATCGTGTATAAAACTTTTTTTTTCCTATAGACAACAATGCTAAAAATTTAGTTCAATTGATTATTTGCAAGCTGTATTTGGTAATTTGATCTTATCAACTACATGTGACCCATCAAGGAAGTCTGGTCATTTGGTTTTTGGTGACTTTTTTTTTAAGCACAAAAGAGGAAAAAGAATAGGTAATCGAAATGCTTTATGCATTAGTGATTAGAGGCTCTAATTTGTAACAGAATAACTTAAATACAAGAGGCAACCCATTGCCTACTTTGGAATTGCAATTATTTCTCTGCAGAGTTACCATAATTTGATTTGCTCAACAATTGAATAGCACAGCATCTGGATTAGTGCCACAGAAAATCCCATCCCAATTCCACAAAACTTCAGCTCATTCCATTGATGTGCCACTTTGATCATGGTTAGAGCTTAGCTTCAGCTGGAAATGTTGAGGTATTTAGGAGTTATGTCAGAATAACAGTCCACTTACATCTCAAATTATCAGGATAGTGAAACCAAGCTCCAGCTACTTTAAAGCATCCAAACACCAGCAGACATCACTGTGAATTTGTTTGTCCTAAATCCCCACAGCTATGATGAGATGTACGGTCAGTAACAGAAAATAAAGCACAAACCTTAAGAAAATCCTGACTTTTGAAGTATTGCTTTTGTTTACTGAACTGTAAGCTAAATTAGCATTTCGTTTTTACTGTACACTGAACTGTGTGAAAACCTCTGCCAGTGCCTTGAACTTCAGCTCCCTGCACAGGTGAGAAGGACCAGAAGCAGCCTGCAAGGTGCAAATCAGCTCCCTGCCCTGGGGAGTTTTATTAAAAGAGTGGCTCCAGAAATCAGACTCCATATGGATATGTCCTGGTCTCCAGTGGAAAACTGCCCCTGTGAATGCACTTACTAACAAGATCTTACTGAGTTAGAATTTAATTTTGTTAGAATTTTAAATTATATTATATTATTATATTTGTTAGCTATTATATATATTACATTGATATATACAATATATATATAATACATACTATACATATAATATATTATTTATTCTATTTCTTAGACTATTCACAGCTAAAATATTAGTGGGGGAAGCAGAAGGGGTGAGATATTTGTTAGACTTTCCCTAGGTACCGTAATTAGGTCTTTCCAATCAAGCTGTATTTACCATCAAAGCACCATACCTCATTGACATGGGCCACTGAATTAATTTGCAAAAGTCAGGCTCTCCAAGATGATGCTTACTTTAAAAACAGATTCTACTGCCAGCTGGTCTGGAGAGCAGAGAATTTAGTGGATGACTCTTCCTTGGGGTTGGTACTGTAGCTCCTGTTCCACCCAAAGCACCAGGTACAATTACCTGAGCCATGAAACTGGTTACCACTGCAGAAACCCAGGAGAAAAATCCAACAATCAATGGATTTTTATTTTTTTTCTCAGCAAGGGTCTGAAATCAACAAGGTTATTACTCCAGAGAAAAATTAATTTACCCATTGAAATTGTACTGGCTAGCTGGGCAGAACTGCAACCATAGTGCTTTCCTACATGGTCCCTTCCTTCCAAAATATGTGGGTCCCCAAATCAACATTTCCCTACTTCCCAGCCTGTTTACTCCAGACAGCACAAGAAATGAACACCAGCTTTCAGCATCAGCACAGAACTTGCTCAGAACATCTCTGCTTGAGCCAAACCAGCACTGCCTGCCCTGGGGAGCCCAATTTTGTTTGTACACAGCAGCCAGGCTTTGCTCTGCTCTGCAGCTTCCAAACAAACCCTGTCCTGCATTAGAGTATGACACTGAAACCTGGTTTAGGATTTTTCCATTCATGCCATGACTTACAGAAAATTCTATAATCAAAATTCATTAAATCCCTGACCCTTCTTTCTCTTCTTTACAAACACCATGATGTTGCCAAGTAACCTTTTATCTGCGTCTCAGCTTCCTTCTCTCCTTCAGTAGAGCTTTCCTACTAAGTATTTCCAAGTGAGATACTGCAGGTGATTGTGTTCAGTCCATCCATTTATCATACTCAGAACAGTCCTTCAATAAAACTCAATAAAAGTGGTGTTATTGCCAGTCCTAAAGGTTCACGTTTTCCTTCCACCCACAGCTGCAGCATGGCAATCAGCAATATGAGAGCCTCCTTTCCCACTGCATCCCGAGAGGACTGGGCTCTGAAGGCCCTCTCACAGCTCTGGTGACACCCTGGGCTGCGAGCATCACCCTTCCTCCTGATCTGCTTTCTTCCTTTTCTACTTTCACCCTTCTTGCTCATCTACTCACAAACCAGCAGCTGGGGGCTGCACACTGGCATTGCTAAAACCTCTGTGGCAGTTCTGCATCTGACCCTTCCTGCACTTCAAGCAGATAAAATAATAAATAATAAAATAATTATTTCAGCCCTAATAACTACAATTAGTCATAACAATAATTATAATTAATCAGAATTATTTATGTCCACCACCATTCTGCTGAATCAGAGCACATACCTAAGAAATTCAACTTGTTCTTTACCTTTGCTGCAAACACAGTGCATCCCACTAACTCTGACACTCTCCATCACCACCAACACTTTGGTTTTTTTTCAGTTTTCTTGACATGGCAGACTGAAACACTTCACTGATTATTTGATTACTGCATTTGGAACAGCATGCTCACAGAAAGATGCAGTAAGAGATATTTCAGAATAATTTAAATGTTTCTATATTAGGATTAATACAGTAATCAGGACATAGAAAACAACTAAGATATGTTGCACCTTAGAAAATCAGGCACGTGGCTGGATTTTATAAAGCTTCTGTAAGACCCAGAATGAAATCCCATAAGGCAGTTGAGCAATGACTGCTTTGTGAGATCACGACACTAATGTAAGATCTGTCACATTTAATGCATTTATGACATGGGTCCAGGAATCAGAAGGGACAATGTAACCTTCATACACTTCTACAAGAACCTTGTTTATCAGATAAATACTTTACTAAACTGCCCTTACCACCAGTGGTTCTCATTTAAAGAGTCCCCCAGGTACAAACCTCAGATTTACAAAATATGGGGGCTCCTGCAAGAGATGCATTTCCTCCCACACTGCCTGAAAGGACAGCATTATCCAAGCTCTGATTTGGCTCAGGTGGCATTCAGAGTCCCTTCCCCAACGCACAGCTCCTCCAAAGGTGGATGAGTGCAGGTCAGGGGGTGAGTGCTGCCCCTCGCCCTGCGCACACAGCAGCCCAGGCACTGCTCCATCCTGGGGCTCACAGCAAACCCCACCCTGGCTTTCAAAGTCAGAGATGAAATAAGCACGAATGAGCAACACACACCATGCCAGGGGGTTTGACCAGCGAGGGAGTGGGGGCTGAATTCAGGAACTCACACAAGAGCAGATCCTTGGGCCCCTCACACGTGCAGGGGTGTGGATGCTGACAGTCTGGCCAGAGAGAAAGCCAGATCAACTTCCCCAGGCATTCTTCTGGGGAGTTTTGAGAAAGCTCAGAGAAAGAATTAAAATAACCCTTAATCTTTGCAGCTGGTGTTTTAAACTCGTAGTTTACTTGTAAGATGTGCACAAAAAGAGTGTTGTTCCTAATTAGCCCCTGTAAGTACACTGCATGTGTACAGTATATGTGCACAAGAAGAGTGTTGTTCCTACCAGCCTGTACTGCACTGGGTGCATCTGTGACTCAGTTTCTGGGTTTGTTTTTTATGACAGCTGAATAAGTATGCATTATGCACCCATTTAAGCACAGGCTTCAAGTCAACACACATCAAACCCATGTGTGTTGTTGCCCTTACTTGTGTACTTGTGAGATGTGTCCAAGAAGAGTGTCGCTCCTAATCAGCCAATAATGTGAGGAGTGTTAATTGAGGACCAATCAGAGCTGTCTATAAAAAGAATGTGATGTATAATAAACTTCACATTTACCTTCTAACAACACAAAAATCTGCTTCACTTGATCCAACCATCCCTAACGCAACAACACCGCAGGGGCAAAGGACTTGATTTAGGATGTCTTGCCACAGAAGAGACATGTTAACTGTGCATTTCAGCCCAAGCCTACACCAGTTACTCATGAGGATGTCTTATAAATCAGCAGGGCTGGAAAGCTCTGGGACAGGCAGGGCAGTGCAGCCCTCCTACAGACACAGCTGCAGCCACGCTGGGACCCTGCTGCAAAAAAACCTCAGAAAACACACAAGCACCACCTTCCTGAAAGGAGTCACTTTTGGTTATAAAGGGTAATTCTGCATGGGTGAGCTCAAATGCTGAAAATAAGGGTCTTGGGGTGTGTGGGGAATGAATTTCTAGAGAATTTTTGAAGTTTAATAGAAAATTTAGATAGTATGCATTTGTATACAAACTTTGAGGGGAGAAATGTTGATTTAGAAATACTATGGAATAAGATAGATATTGTTG